CCTGGCAAATGCCAGGTGTTACATCCTAGAGGTGCTGTTGGATGGACACAGCAGGGCAGAGAGGGTGGCTGCCCTGCTCCCTCTCCTGTGGGTATCACAAGACAAACCAGCCTACTGCAAGAGGGGAAGGGAATTGATTCTGCTGTATGGGGTCCAAATAGCTGAAGTATTTTGTCCAAAAACCCTTAGTTGCTGAACAAGCAATTATGTGAAAGAGCTTACAGGTTGATTTCTTTTCCAACTGCTTTTAGTGGATGGCAATTGGCATGCAAATAAAAACAAGGGTAGAATTTATGCTAGCTGAAACATTATGAACAAGTTATATTATTAAAAGTAAAATTTGAGCTCCATTAGCTCATTAAATTAAATTACAGTGTTTGCTTTTCTGTAGTGCAGTGTCAGAAGTGGTTCTGAATTTCTGGGAGAGTTATTTTCCATTGATTGCTGTATGTCCTGTTTGGAGACTGTGTCCTGTAGGTGTGTATGCAATTTTGCAGCTATGCCAACACTTCATAATATAATTTTACATGCAAATTACAGCTATGTAGTGTATTAAGCTATTCTTTTTTCTTTTTACAACGTCTCCAGCCATGCACCCAATGCACACAGAGTGATTTTTTGGCTTACCAGGCTTCAAACCATCAGACCACCAAAGAGGTGAACTGAGCACAGTGCAAGCAATGGCAGCATTCGGGCTGGCCTGTCAAACCAGGAGGGGAATTGTACAGCCTCTCAAATACCAAACTTTGGGGCTGATTCATTCAGTGGGTCTGTGACCTGACAAGGCAGTATGATTAATTGCACACATATTCCCTCTGAGGTTTTCCTGCTCATGCTTTCTGCAGCAAATTGTTAGCTTGACAGATCAGCATAGCAGCCTCTTAAGATGCCAGAAGGGGAAGCGGTTGGTTTCTGATTGAAACTTAATGGAGCAACAGCAGCTGCTCCACACTGAGGAGGAAAAAAACCCCAAACCAAACAGGCTTTGATTCTCAGAGAAAACCACACATGGGAATAAGCTGATTTTTCGATAACTCTGGCTGTGGGATACTGTCAGGAGTTGAAAGACCATATTTGCATGATAGAATAGGTGTCATAATTAGAAATTCAGCTGTGCTTTCTCTCATCTGATTATTGAAATATAAGCCATGGCATGAGTGTTTTTCTTTTCTGATTAAATGCTGTTTTAGGTGTCTCTTGTTCCACGTGTTTGTTCTTGATACTTTGGCCATTTAAGCTAAAGTTTGCAGAAACCCTGATTTGGCAGGCAGCTCCTGTAGTTGCAGTGCTGAGCAAAGATACTTGCACAGCACCTCCCTTTGCTCACAGGCAATCCACACTGTCCCTCTGTCAGACCAGCCCCACCGCCAGTTTAAAATCGTTTTCACTTTCAAGTAAGCCTTAGCAAATTGCATTAGACACTTCCTCAAGAATTCTGAAGCCCTACCACTTTATCTATTAAAAGGTTTTAAACATTGACCAGTGTTTCCCCTTCCACATTTCCCAGCTGGACTCTGGCAGGATAACACAGGCTTGATGGATGCTTTCATGCTGTGTGTGAAATGAGCATGGGCATCACACCACAGCCTGCCCCAGCGAGGAGGCTCCCAAGAAGCAAACTGCACCAGGGAAAACCCAGATGGCAGCACCAGGGCTGGGGTGGGCACAGCAGGCTGTGCCATGCAGCAGATGCATGGAGAGAGCTGCACTCTCGCCTCGCAGATGCCTTTGTTCTGTTCCAGGACAAATCCCCCAAAAGACACTTGGAAGGGCAAGTCTGGAAACTGAGACCTGTGCTACCTCCCCACTGCACTTCCCAACCTGCATCCTGCAGCACCTGCTGAAGAGCTGAGTTGAAAACAGTCCTTCAAATCCAGCAGTCTGTGCTGGGCCCCTGTCAAAGGGCTATGTTTATAGCAGAGATTATGGGTGAAGATCTTCTAAAATGCCCCTGGATTCTCCCATGACATCCCTCAGCTTCTCCGAGTTTGAATTGAGCTGTTCATTCAACAGCTACATTTTCTAACTTTGTGAAATCTTGGCTGTTACTGGCAACACAGAAACACATAAGCAGCAGGAAAAAGGCAACAAGAAGTGCTTCTATTACTACAACTTTTAAAGTGAGGGTAAGAAACTAACAGAGATACTGTATAAACAAATTGATTTAATTGCACTACATGAAAGAGAAGGCAGGTCTTACTGAAGTGGAGCAGTAGACAGCATGCCAGAACAAAATTCCTCAAAGCAATGGCATATAAATATTGAATAAAATGCAAAAGCCAACTCTGCAGATGGCTTTGGGAAAAGCAGCCGCTCTGGCTGCAAGTATGTTTCAGAGAATACACCACAAAACCTGGAAACCTGCAAAGCCAAGGAGGAAATCAGTGAATAATCTGCTAGAGGGAAATCCCCAGCTTCCACAATCAAGTACAGGGGTTACAAAGACATTTCTAAATCAGTGAGGGATGGGATGAGACAGAAGACTGAATGTTAGGATTTTGAGTTTTCCCCTTAGCAGCCCATACTGCCATGCCAGGCACATACCTGCTGCTGGTCTTTGGATACCAATTTTGATATTTAATTTGGGGTGTTAATCTCTCAGCAAAACAATTTAATATCATCTCTGTAGCCATTACTTTCTTCCAGAGGCCTTTGCAAAAGGCATTTCCAACAGATTTAAATATATGATTGCCAATCAAGTGCGCTGCATCCGCTCAATTTGCTTCTTTCCTTTTGTTCAGAGAACCAGCTGTAGGATTCACTCACAAAAGCTTCTGGAGCAAAGAAAGAGAGGATTTTGTTAATCTGGATTTGTGAGCCCCAAACTACTGGTTTAAAATTTCATGATGAATCTGTGTCACCGTGTAGTTCCTTCTCCCTTGGGAAAACAAAGGACGAACATATGTAGAAAATCAGGCTTATTCTTCTTAACTGTAAGAAGAAACCAAAGAGAAATAAATGAAGAGAGTTTGGCATCACCTTACCAAACCACCCCACCTGCAGCTTTATGTGATTTGCAGAGTGGGAGCAAGTAATATATATATTAAAAAACAGCAACCAAACCCCCAAATCAGACACACAATGCAGTGTTTCTGTGGGTTGCTGAAGCAAGAGAATCACAGTGGGTGCAAACAAGGCCACAGGAATGAGACATGAGTGAAACAAAACACAGTGTCCTTTGCAGGACAGCTCTTTCAGAAGTTTGTAGTCTTTCCTCTGAGAGCTGAGAGCTCACAACCTCTCTGCACCCAGTATATCCAGCACTACTCTTTTCAGTAGGCTGAGGCAGAAGGTACCAGTGTGAGGTGGACAGCAGGCACCTTCAAAGTGGTGATGTTTAACACAAAGGATTGGAAATTTTTCTTACAAGAGGTATTTTTCATCTACAGGTCTGGAGGTGCTTGTACATATGCAGCCAATGCCAACTGGATCTTTCACACATGTGCCAAGGAGCATCAAGTTCCTACCCCTACAAACACATCTCCTTGACTTCCTTTGAGGGAACAGCTATCCCAGTGTGGACTGGCACCAGAGGACACTCCAAAAGTGACACAGCAAGTAAGAAGGGAAGCAGTGAATGACCTCCAGTCCCTCTGCTGCCCTTGCCATGCGTCAGCCTCGTCACTGGGCACCACAGTGTGTACAGGAGGTCTTATGGAAACCAATTCTAAAACACACAGTACAATTAATCTGAAAAGGACACTGGGCAATGCAAGCAGGTTTGTCATCGTGCCTTGTGCCAGCTAAGCTTTCAGGCTTTCAAATCTAGCACTTTTCTCATCCTCAGGAAATATTTCTGCTATGTGTTAAAATCACAACCAACCCCAAGGTATTTACACATAATACTAAGAATATCAGAGATTAGTATAATGCACAGTATGTTTAGAATTGCAGAATAGTTAATGTAGATTAAAGTGCTTTGCCAGTAATCACTCACTTTCCTGACCTAGCCACATGGCTTTTCCATTTTGCTGCACTCCAGCACTGCCCAGCTGCACAGCTGGTCCCAGGGGGGCAGCCCTGTGGGGCAGTGACAAGTGCCATGAAACTGCTCTGGCCCCAGCCCCTGACTACAGCAGGCTAAAATGTGCTCTGGGAGACTGCCAGAAATATGGAACTCTCTGTGCTGAGCACTTGGACCAGAGCTGGTTCTCCCATCACACACAGCAAGGGGCTGGCGCAAGCAGACCCAGCAAGACTGCAGGGCCACAGTGCCCTGTGTTTGCTGGAGCATCCCCCCGGAGGCAGCCTTCATGGAGCTGGTGTCCTGGGATAGCAGCTCAGCAGCAAACACCCACAGCCCTGCAAGGAGCTGACGTCCCTCTCTGGTGGTGTGAGTCACACCAGTGACACACAGGTTCTCCTCAGCAAGAGCTCAGGCACTCCGCTGTTTGGGCAAGATGCTGCTAAAACATACTCCTGTAAAATCCCTGCCCCTTAGAGCCTTCATTCATGAAGAGGGTATCTGAGAGGGGACAAGAAAAACTGCAGGGACTGAATAGCACTGAGGCAATAAACTTAGATCCAGTATTTAATCATATTTTCCAATAACTTTTTTTTTTTGAAGTGTTTCTGAGAGATGTCTACATTTCATCACAGTGAATGGGTGACGATAAAAGGTTTTGTCTAGACAGAAGGTAAAGTTTGAACTTTAAAATTAAGTTCTACACAGTGGGGAAAAAAAAACCTAACAAGCACAATGTTCTGTTTGCCTTAAAGCTTAAAAAAAAAAAAAAAGGGGAAAAAAAAAAAAACCTCCAAAAGTTAAAACCCCCAAAACAATAACATTTTATTATTTTGGAAATATATTCTATCTAAAGTAAATATTTTAAATATTTACTATTAAACATTAGCAAAGATCACTTTGTGGAGATGAAAGCAACATCATCAGGGAGTTTCATAAACTGTCTCAGTTTCTGGGTAGCTGCTCTTCAGCACTAACAGCACACAGCATATTTGGTGCAGTGTAAATTTTCTCTTTTTTTTTTTGGTAGAATACTTATTTAGTGCCATAGCAGAAGAAGCAATTAGCAGGCATTTAATGGGGCAATCTCCCAAGAACAGTCCTGAGACAAGAGCTACTCCACCACAGATCAGGCCCTGGAAGGAGATGCAGCTGGGTGCCCCGCAGACCTGCAGGTGTGTCAAGCTGCCCCACCTGAGACCTGCTTGCAGGCTTTTCTTTTCCACAAGCAGCCTCACCACTCACAAATGCTTCTTCTTTTTTATTGCCTCTGCCCTGATAGCCAAGCTCTTGGCGCAGATGGTCAGGACCACGATGAGGACTCCAACCAGGAAAGTCACCATGGGCCAGAGGAAGCAGTGCAAGAGAACAGTCTCATCGTGGGTGCGCTTCAGCATCACATCGTCCGGCCTGTGCAAGGGGGACAGAAGATGGAGAGAATATAAATCAACAAAACACCATCAATTCGTAAGTGGGAGTCATCTAACATGGTAAGAGTAAAGGGGATTTTCTTGTGAAAGTGTTAGAAAATAATTAAGTGGACTATTTAATTCACTGCTTGCATTTGCCTTTTTGTCACCAGCACTCATGGCAGACTATGAGAGCTTTCCACTTGCAGTGTTTACAGGCTAACAAGTTCACTTGGATTAAAAAAGAAAAAAAAAAGAAGGAAAAGGTGTTGGGACTCTAGATCTTCCTCTGAATATGGTCATCACAAACAGCCATGACAGGTACAGTACCACACTGACTGTGGATTGCAAAACCACTCTGGCAAAAACATAATACCAGGCAGCATTTGTACATATCTACCTCAAATGTTATCAGGCCCTGTGAAATGGATGTAAACAGTAATTAAAGCTTCACTTTTAGCTTTGAGCACTCATGTGTCCATGGGGCTACCTGGAGGCTCCCGATGAAGCAAGCCCTGGCTGTGGTTTGGGTCTGGGCAGGGAACTGTTCCCTGTCCTCAGCACTGGACTGCTGGTGGCCCAGGTTAGCCCAGCTGCACTGGCAGGCAGCAGCCTGCAAGAAATCCATCCCCACGAGGACTACAGCCTGCCCCGGGGTGGCCAAGGCTCACAAGTCAGCTCCTTCCCAGAAGTGGCTCTTTCAGCAATAGGCTGCGATTTGGGGCTGCAGACAGCAGTGCCTCAGTAGACTCAGTAGGCTCCTACAGGGACACTTTGGTGAGACTCCCACGAAGGTCTGAACCTCCTTGCCTCCACCAGCAGCATCTAATACACAGTCATGGTGGGGCTGAGACAGGTTTGTGCGCTTCCAAAGCAAAACGGAGGGAGGAGGAAAATTGCGGTGGAAGCATCTTGAGACATTTGGAAATTTAGCTGTGCCACATGTCTGAAAGATCTGCTGTCTATCTGCCTCTTCCAAGTCTGGGAGGTTGTTGGCAAAATGTGATGGCAGATTTTCCTCAGCTCTGGCTCTTTCTGCTCTCCCTTGCAGTTTATTAGTTATTAAATCAGTCTCGTGGCATTTGCACTTTGCTCTTGCTTTCCCATCTACAGCCAGAGACACGCAGTCTGCTGGAAAACTATCTGCAAAGGAGAGAAAGAGAACTTTCTCCAACCAGAAAAACATCTAAAGTCTTGACTCATGTTGGTCCTCACTCACATCGAACATCCCATGGCATGTTGCTTCACCAATGCCACCTGACACTTCTTGGAGCAGCAAACCTCACAGCCTAAAGTCCTGGCAAATCAGGCTTATCCAGCAACGTCCCGGGAATCAAGGTCACCTGACATGGTGACACTTGGGAGCAGACACCTGTTCAATGTCTGTGCTGTCTCTCCCACGATACTTTTGTCCTGATCAGAAAGGAGCCCCCAGAAAAAAATTCTCTGTTGAGGAAAAAGAAGGAACCTTTTTTCCTTCACTGGGAAATTGAATGGAGATGCTTGCAAGTCAACAGAATTTTATCCATCCTTAAGGAACTACTGGAGACAGACTGCCAAGCTACACCTGATGCTAGATTTAATTACACCTGCATTTGCATTTGGGGGTCTCTCACCCAAAATTGCTGTGTGGAGAATCCTCTGCACTGTGCCAGCCTGAAAGTCCCCAAGGCCAGCACCATATGTCTCTCTTTGTTTCTGTAGTAAGGAGCAGAATAAAACTCTGATTGTGAGCAGCTCAGCTATATAAAATTTGAAATTCAGCAGCATAAAAAGATATCAAAAGAATCCCAGGTGCATTCAGTAGTGGAATGTATTAATTCTGTGCAACCAAAATCCTCCAGCTATATAAGCAGGCACAGGTGGAGACTACAAATTGAATAAAGCAGGATTAAATTCATGGGTGCAAACTCACCAACCTGTGCACCTGAACAGAGAAATCCTCTCACAAGAGCCATAAGCCTGCTCCCTCACAGTTACTGTATCATCACCTGTGAACAACAGAGTGATAATTGGCAAGGAAGCCAGAAGTAGGCAACACTCAAACTTCACAGCTCTGAACTTATTAGTGACATTGAATTTTAAGGGGTTTTTTAAAGGAGATGTTAGTTCAAAAATAAGGGACAAGCAAAAACCTAGAAAATTGGATTCAATTAAAGGAAAGAAAGTGTGGTTGGGGAAAGTAAGATATCCTTTAGACTCAATCTTAAATGTTTTGAAAAACATAAGTACCAAAAGTAACAGTGATGGATGTCAAATACTCATTATAGATGTGATTATGGCTTAGTAATTTGAAAGAATTTCCCTTTTAGAAAGGAGTCAAAGACAAAGCTTTTAAGTAAATTTTGAGCTGAGGTTTGGGTTTAGATGGGTATTATGGCTACTTTTAAGTACAGCAAGAGTCCCTGTGCACTGGGGCGGCCTCACCTTGATTCCTGTGTGCAGTTTTGGGTGCCACAATATAAGAAAGATGTTAAGCTGTTGGAGAGCATCCAAAGGAGGGACATGAGGATGGTGAAGGGCCTTGAGGGGAAGCTGTATGAGGAGTGGCTGGAGTCACTTTGTTCAGTGTGGAGAAGAGAAGATTGAGGGGAGACCTCATTGCAGCTCCTTCCTCACAAGGGGAAGAGCAGGGGCAGACACTGATCTCTTCTCTGTGGTGCCTAGTGACAGAACCAAGGGAATGGCATGAAGCATGAAGGGGAGGCTCAGGTTGGATATTAGAAAAAGGTTCTTCATCCACAGGGTGGTTGGGCACTGGAACAGGCTCCCCAGGGCAGTGGTCACAGGACCAAACATGTCTGAGTTCAAGAAGCATGTGGACAATGCTCTCAGGCATGTGGAGTGACTCTTGGGAACAGTGCTGTGCAGGGTCATTGGCTGGATTCCATGATCCTTGTGAGTGCCTTCCAATTCAGAGTATTCTGTGATTCTGTGGCACTTGAAACACAGTAATGTAACTGCTTTGGGTTTGCTTGGCAAAGCTAACAGTTTTGACTTTTCATGCTACTTTTTTAAAGGTGACCTGCTTGCTCCCGCAGTCTGAAGCCTTGTGGTTTTACTTGGAAACAGAAAAGGAAAGGTGCTCTGTCCCCGGGGGAAAACTTCTCATGGTAAAGACCTGTCTTGGCTGGAAAGCCTAAGAGCATCACTCCCCTGGTGCTGAGGCAGTGATATTGAACCCAAAGGAGGTACATCATGGCTAGAAACATGTTTCTTTTCCCTATGAAAATCAGCTGATATAATTAAATTTGTTGCCTTGCTCCTGTAAGTACAGTGTCTTCAATAAACCCATCTTTGCTCTGTGACTTTATATATAAATATATATACATAACACTTCAGTTCAAAGATGTTGGCAGAGGGGTTGTGCATATTCACCCTAAGCTTGATTACTGGCAGTCTCCTCTTTCTAGCCATGCTGCCATTCAGGTTTCCAGTAAATGTAAAGCCTCTTGAGGGGATGCACCCAAAATCCTAACACCAGTTATCCGTGCATAAAACAGCAGCAGAGGCAAGAAAGAGACCTAGTGGGACAAAAGGGGGAAGCCCTGCAGTGATTGCAAGCCATGCTCAGGCATTCAGAGCTGGTTCTTGCTGTGAACAGTGTGCAGCACTGTGCAGCACCACCACTGCCCAGCAGCAGCCCCAGGGTGAAACAACAAACAAACTGGAAAAAAAAATCCCTGAAGAAGCCTTTGCCTTAACCCTGAAAACACTGCTTTCTCTTTCACTGAACAGACAAGGAGGAAGGAATTTCGTTTTCATTGCTAAAAGGTGAGACCAGGACTTATTTTTAGCAGGACTTTGAGCTCAGGGCTAGACCCTTGTGGAGCTTTGGGCAGGGCTAACTGGATTAATTGCATTACACAACACATCCCTGTTAGGTTCTGCCAGGTAGTTCAGACACCAGATAAAACAAGCCTCCATCAGAGCCTTCAGAGCAATTACTGAACATCATGGGGAGAATTGCAGTGCAGGGATTACCAAAATGTCATGTAGGACCAAAAGGTTACAGGCACATAAACATTTCAGTCATCACTTGTGAACCAAACTGAACCTAATGTTGCACAACAACAGCTAACGGAGGTGGAGGGGCAGGATAGGGAAACCTTACAAATGGTTTTGTATTCAAACAACATGGATTTAAAGATGTTTGCAATACACTGATTGTTTTCCCCACAGATATTCACATCCCTTCCCTCTGACAAGCAGTAATTTTTCCCTCATTGTTGCAAGATGCAGAGATCCTCAGCTGGATGGCTGCTTGCAGAGGCAGCACAGTGTCCTACTGTCCTTTCCCCCTCGGGCCCAAGCCCTGCTCCTCAGCTGGAGGGAATTAATTTAGAAAACTGTGAAGTAACAGAGCACACCAAGATTTTTGTTCCAACATTTTATGGATCAGCAGCCTTACTACCTGAGAACCCTTGGCTTACACACAAAATCATTCTGAGATAAGTGGGAACCCTGCAGGGCACCCCAACAACATACAGGTTGCCACTAAGCACTTGACAGGGTTTGCTCTTCAAATCTCTGATGAATTTGTGGACAGCACCCTGCAGCAAACACAGAGGAGGTTAAAGCATGGCTGGATCATCTGCTGTGCCACAGCAAAGGAAACACAGAGCGTTCTTGTGTATGGCACAAGCCCAGAGTTAGCAAGCAATAATGCCATATAAATCAGCCACTAATAAGAAATGACTTGACACAGGTTGCTCTGCCTGTCTCTGCATGGCATGAGACAGTGAGGTCTCAGCTCATGGCAATCTTAGTTTCTCTCTTTTTTGTTTTTGTCATGGATGTCAATGACACCTGGAACATGAAGAAATAAAGTGACAGGATCTTCCCCATCCTGTCTGTTCCTGCAGGCCTCCCACTTTAGGGCATGCAGCTGTGGCCCTTGTTTGCATGAGGTCATGACTGCAGAGCCCTGGGACTCTGGGTGTGAGATCCAGAACACCAAAGCCTTAGAGCTCAGTGCCCTCTCAAACCTGTGGTAACAGCCTGAGAACTTCACCTGAATTTGTCCTTATTTTAGAGTCTGAAACACCGAAGGTTGGTTTCTGCTGTGCTGGGCTTACTTCAGACTGGGGTATCATCATGCCAACAGACAGGCACCTTCACCAGAGATCCAGAAAAGCAACTTCCCATGCAGCTTGAACCCCTTGTCCCAAAGCTTGTCAGAGAAGAGTGGAGCACTAAAGTTAAGTGCCTACGGTGGCAAAGCAATGCTGGCTCCTCAGTAAAGCACTGAGCTCCAAGATAAGCTGTACTTTGGTTCCCTAAGACTAATGTCAGGCAGCTAATTTTGCTGGGCAGTTTGATTTACAGTAACTAAAATGGTTGAAATTGCCAAGTCTGCTTCTCATCCCTTTTGCATAACTTTGAACTGTAAGGATGGCACCCCTTTTCTTTATCTTTTCAAAGTAACCTGTTGAACCCCCCAAACTGAAAGGGAGAAGTTACCCAACAGCACACTCTGCATGCAGCAACAGTTCTGACAATGAAAATTGAGTAAACTCAATGAAGAGGAGAAGGTGTTCATTCATTGCCTGTATATGTACCTAGAATTTTATTCTCCTGTTTCAAAGGAGTATTAATATTACAAATACTACATTTTCTAAGGAACTATTTACTATACATTTTATACAGACTGAGAACAGTTAGCTTATCCACACAGTGAAAAAAAACACTGTCAGAAAACATGCATGCTTCTATTTTGAAGGGAACAGATTTCTCCCTCAGTTTGTTATGATTTCTTTTCACTGCTTTGCAGGCTGCTTAGTCATCATTGCTCTAAAAGTATACCCAAGCAAGCACATTCCCAGTCAGCAGAACTTATCTCCCAAAGCTCATTGCTATCTCCAGAAGAAAATAGATGGTGTACACATTTCGGCTTAGACAGTCTTCTAGTACCTCTGGCAGGGAGCCTCTCTTATCCTGTGTATGAATTGTTGCATGATCAGCAAAAGGCAGTGTTTCAAGGCAGCCATTGTTCTGGCAAGAACTTTTAGCAGTGTAGGATTCAGCATCTTTAGGGGAAAAAACCCTTTCTGAGTGCTGCACAATTTTTCAGTGCCAGCTTACATAAATGTCAGATGCTAGGCAGCATGCAGCCTTTGCAGAAAAGCTTTGTCTTTGCTTCACCAAAAGGTAATGTGAGAATCAGCTCCCATAGCTCTGGACACCTACCACCCTAAATTCCTTTACAGGAGAGAAATAAATATCTCTGGGCATCTGACCTGTATCAGGCATTTACTCTGGGGTAAGAGAAAAGGCTCCTGTTTCTCTCCACTGCCAAAAAAGTCACACAGTTACCTTTTACATCATCCTTTGCACACCAGTTCAGATGTACCCTTGTACCCTAGCCATGGCTTCTCCTACAGACAATCCCATGTTTCTGACTCTCCTGCTCACTTGGGCAGTGGGTGCTGCAAATCCCAGTTCTCAGGAGTACAAGGAACACCTGCCTGCCCAGAAAAACCAGAATCATAACTTGGCCTCTGGTTACCAGATCCAAGCTTTGGCACCTTGTGGACCAGAGGACTCCCAGGAAGGTCCCTGACGGGTCTGATGTCATCACTCAGAGTGCCCTGAGTTTTAACCTCTGCCTGCTGGAAGCAATGTTTCTTTCCACTCTAAAGGAAGAAGTTTTGCTACAAAGTTTTGGTCGTGTCCCTCTGCAAAGAGTTAACCAGGGGCAACAAACTCATCCTGGGCATGCTGGCTGGGTCTACAGTCTCTTCAGGGATTATACAGCTATTATAGCCAGCTTAGGACAAACCTGAAGTCCCCAAGGCACTCATGGGGACTCAGGCATTTCTCCACCTGCCATCCATTTTCCTCCTGATTGTCTTTCTGACTTAAATATCTGCTGCCAACACTCCCACACTGAGCCCTGAATTGTGCCTGCAAGTTGTGAGCTATTCCCTCATCTATTTAACTTCCAAGTGTTTGTGGACAGGATTAACCTCCTCCTGCAGGCACGTTACCTTTCATTTCCTGGCATACCACCATCAGAAAGAGAGAGGAAAAGGACTCCCTCCCTTTCTCCTTACTGAAGGAAGGAAACCACACATCACTCTTATACACATGGAAGTCACATCAACACTGGCAGTAAAGTAAGAACTGAAACAGAAAGGGGGAGATGCTTTAGGTTACAAATTTCTACTCTGCAAGCACGTATGAAACCTGACAGTTCTGTTGCTGTTTATTACACATATCTGATCCATTAATCCTCTATGAACACAATTGCCGAGTTAGTTTGTCGTATTTACTGATCTCCCCTTTCTTGCATGAACACAGTAGGGTTTCTTTCCTGTGGAGGAAAGGAATGTTAATATCCTCACCAGAAATCTGCCATCTGAGTGTTAAAAGCCAAGATGCTTTTTGCTATAAAAATTGCATGTTTTAAGGAAAACTTTTCTCACAGTTTTATATTCTTACTTCCAGTGGCAAAAATACTCCTTCCCTTTCCATACAGCTTTTCACCAGTAGAGCTGTCTTGCAAAGCTCTGCAAGCTCTGTGTGATAAAGCACATTGCCCTGGAGGGAGTCTCTGTGTGTATGTACATGTGCATGCATTTATATGTATTTTCAAACAGAACCAATGGACAGCTGTTAAGCAGATGCATAAGCACTCCTGCCTAGCCAAATGGAGATACTCACCTCAAGTGCTGGTTAAAATAGCACGTAAATGGTTGAGAACCCACTTTCTCTTTCCAGTATTTCTGCTTGTACGTGACGTTCTCAGAGTTCTCCTGATCGTCTCTTGCACAGGGAGGGATGTATGAGCACTGCCAAGACACATTGCAAAACAGAGTTACTGCTGTGCTCAAGAACGCAGGGCATCACTTCTCTGCCTTTTCCTCATGATACCAGCATGACTGAAATGGACTGAGAATAATAAACAAAAGCTCCAAAGAAACAGAAAAGAAATATTAGCTGAACTTCACTGAAATTGCTAATTATTCTGTGTGGGTACTGGAAAAGAATACTGTAGCATTCAGAAAGAAAATAAAGGCTTTGCCATGTTTGTTCCACTCTTAAACCAAACCACTTCATAACATCTTGGGGTTTGGCCTGGTGAATATGAAAATGATAATTTCATTTTGAGGTATTCCTAGCCAGCTGCATGGATTGGATTTTAATAACTTCCTATTTTCAGTGAGGCACGTAATCACAAGTTTGGTTAAGTATCATGCTAATAAATAACCCGGAGTCCAGCAAGCTTTCCCAGCTGATGGGATATCTGGCTAATATCCACTGATAAAAGAAGATATTCTTCCACTGTTACAACACACGGAAACAAGAAAAAAGGTTCATAGCCCTGCTTCAGCAAAAAGGTTCAGCATCTGTTTCTGCTGTGCAGAAGTCAAGGAGAGTTGAGCATCCAGCTGAGCTACCTGCAGATCTCACCTTCAGACATCTGCTTCAAAGCCCAGAGATCAAGGGACACTCCTCCTCTAGCTTGGCGCCCTTGGGACCGGGCTTGCAGAGGCTTCCCTTTGGGTCACACACACACACTCACTCTCTCACACACCTTGTTTCCAAGTCTTTGACACACCACCCTTAAGTCCTGGCCACAGGCAGTTAAATAACAGAAAACAAGCAGTGCACAGAATCAAGTGTCAGCACCGTCAGAGGTCGGTGTCCAAGCACAATCCTTCTCATTTTTAGCAGGCATCCATACAGGAGATCATGACAGGAGCTGTTGAACCACACTGAGTAACACAGCTTAGCTGATCCTCCCATAGCACAGAGGCTTTTCACCCTGCAGGGCGTACGGACGACAAGTGAACTGAACACACTGAATTTTAATTCCTTTAAAATTGGGAGCTGCAAACAGAAAAAATGTGGCTGGGAAGGTAGCTAAAAAGCCTCCTACTTAGGAAGGATGAGGAAGCAGGAGGTGAAGGGTGTGGGAAGCCCCTAAAGGGGGGCCCACATATGATCACATTAATTTCTCCACAGTGTCCTGGAGGCAGTAACAGCAAGGAGAGCGACACCCTCTCTGACCATGGCTCACTGTGCCTAAGCCAGTGCTTCCTCTCCTTCTGCTGAGGTTTCACAGGGGCTTACCTTGTCCCCAGCTGCACACTGTGCCTAAGAGGTACAGACCACAGGACCATATTCACCATACAACAGCTTGAAGATTTGCCATTCCAAGGGCAAGGGAGAAATCTCAGGATTTTATTGCCCTGATCATGTAAAATCTGACCACTTCTGTCAGCTCCTGCAATTGCTGCCAGTGTTTTGCCTGCTCCAGAATGAAAGAATCTGCAAGGCCTTCCTTGCTCCTTCCAAACTGAAACCTACCTTTTCCACATGCAAGGATCTCCATTTTTACATGGACTCCTGGCTGGTGTTACCATGGCACAGAGCTCCCTTTAGTTCCCTGTTCACAGGACCCTACACAAGGGTTGTCCCACTGCTGCTGATGAAAGACAGAAGTGAGCAGCAGCACCACTCTACTTCAGAAACCAGAATGCAGGATTTATCACATACTGTTATTGCCATCTTAGATAATATTCCTTGGTCAGCAGAATCTTTGGTTTGGTTGTCCACTTTGGAAGCATCGAACACTCCCCTTTTTCCTCCACACTCCCAGAGCACAAACACATCTGTGCAGCAGCTGGGCAGGGCTGGCAGATTTGGCACAAAGACACCTGAGAGCACTGCTGGCTCTGCTCTGACCCCCTGACTGCACCAACATACTGCAGCTTCCCAGCTGGTCCCCTCCTCCTTGCTTGGCCCGGGGTCCAGCATTTCCAACATGCTCCACTCTGATGTTTTCCTGTATGGAGCATTTTCTGCTTTGGAAATGGCACCATATCCCAGGAGCTGTGCACTCACTGCCTACATCTGACTGTAATCACCATGCTGCTCTCCCCAGCCCCCAGCTTGTAGGGGTAGGTAGGTAGCCCCCAGCTTTTAGGGACTCTAGAAAGAGCTCCCAAAACAGACATTATTTAGCCGGTACACAAAATGCAAAACTGGACAAACCAGCTAAGTACCAATAGATATTATTTTGCCTAAACACATCCAGCTATCTCAAAACTCCTATTCCTGTGTTACTGGCTCCAGTACACATATTTCCTGTATCCTGTGAAATGTTTCCTTTTCCTGGCTGAGCCTGCTGCTGTCCTCTGCTATAAAAGTGCAACCGCCCCACCAGCCCTGGTTAAACTTTCTCTGCATCCTTCAGAGACCTTCCATCCCACCAAATATTACTTGAATCCTTCACAAAGTTCATAACCTGGTGAACTGGTTCGCCCAGTTCACCAGGTTATGAACTTTGTGAAGTTTGTTGGTTCACCCCATCCTGAGTTTCAGGCTTAGGAGCAGCCAGAGAGGTCTCTTTTCCCAAGAGATGTCCATCTGAACAGACAAGTATCAAGCTTTAGCAGTCTCCCAGGACATTTCATCACAGAGCGCTTCACATTTGTTTTTCCATCAGTCCCCATGCTGTTAGCTCAATATGAAGATATTAAAAATTGAGTTTTTCAGGGCAGGGATTTGTCGTGGTTTGGAAGATGTAAAGGGGCCCACAGACAGTTTCTCTGGGCAGCACTGCTGTATTTTCCTGTGCCAAAGCAAGAGTGTACAGGAGTATTGCCAGTACCTACAGGAGGGACACATGGAAGTTGGGCACAACAGCAAATGCTTTCCATAACTCAAACTTCACACCATTCTCTGCACACATATTCTCAGCTGACAGCATGCTGGATACATTTCTACCTCTTCTTCTTTATCTTCATGTGGAAAACATAAAGGAGACACCTGGGGTCTTGCCGTAAATCGGTGTGGCCTCACTGCTTCTGCCTGCTGAGGATTAACAGTCTGGAAGAGAGGAATGGTCCCTGTCCAAATATGAATCCCAGGGGCCACCCAGAAACATAACTCAGTGTGACAAAGGTCTTGAGCCCCAGAAAACACCCAAGACGCAATCCCAGTGTGAACATTGTCAGCTGCTGCACAAGCACTGGAGCTTGTTTGCCTCTCCAGGATGCCAGCACAGTCCCCACCCAGCCAAGGTGCTTTTTGTCCCTTTCTGACCCGCACAGGGCGTGGATCTCTCCTTACTCAGCCCCATGAGCACACTTCTAGGGCACTCTGCTTGGCCAGCTCCCTTACCCTCCAAAGCAGATTCAGCAGGCAGATAAAAGGGAATCATATCCTCACAAATTTTGCTGCTGTGACTTGATGGATGGATGCGAAATAATTTCCACTTTGGCAATAGGCAGTTTCTGAAACATTAAATCTGTAGTCCTCCCTTACAAGACATGGCATGAAATACTGGCATCAAAACATAAACAAATGCCAACTGAAAGCTAGTACACCAGTGAAAATGTCAGTGAATAGCCAATACATCTTTACACCAAGGTTTTGTAGGAGTTGCATGTGTGTTTGCTGCTGGATGTTCCCACTTCAGTGTCCCTGCAGATGCCTGGGAAGATTCCTGGTGCTTCTGAGCACTTCATGAGGGCAGATATTCTTCATATCATGAGGAAAGAACAGATGCACAAACTCTTGACTGTGGTTTAAGTTCCAGGTTGAATTTCATGCTTTTCAAAGATCAGTTCTTGTCTAATTTTTAATAAAATGAAAAAATCAGTCACATTTTTAATAAAAAACACCAGACTTGATAGACTACAAGTCCAAGAAAGTTTCAAATGTGAAGAGACATCCTGGCCCAAAATAGAAGCAATTCAGCCCAACAGAAGACAAAACAAAGTAATTCAGGAGCAAGATTTCAAACTCAGTTTCCAAGTGACACGTGGAGGACCATCCTCCTGGCTCCTGGTGAGCTGTGGGACAGAGCATGTTCCATTTGCTTGGTGGGGCAAAGCCCTACAACACCTGCTGGAGTAGAGATCCAGCCTGAGGTGTAACCCCCACCACAGCAAAGGGATGCCTGAGGGAGGCTGTGACTTTGAGGGAAGCCCAGCAGGGTCCTGGCAGGACCTGGGATCCTGCGGAGAGAGGAGCCCAGGCTGGAGCAGGTTTTCTGGCAGGACTTGTGCCCCTGTGGGGGACCCATGCTGGAGCACTTCATAAAGAACTAGAGCCTGTGGGAAGGACCCACATTGGAGAAGGTAATGCAGGACTGCCTGTGGGAGAGACCCCACAGTGGAGCAGGGAGAGTGTGAAGAGGAAGGAGTGCAAATGTGTGATTAACTGACCACAGCCCACATTCCCTGTCCCTCTGTGCTGGAGGAGGTAAAGAAAATCAGTAGTGAAGCTAAGCTCAGGAAAAAAAAGATGAGTAGGGGAAAGGCATTTTTAGATTTGATTTTATTTATGCAGTACCCTTCTCTGATTTCATTGGCAATACAGCAGATTAATTTCCCTGAGTCAAGTTCATTTTTCCCATGATGATAAAGGGTGAGTGATCTCTCCCTGTCCTTACCTCAACCCACAAGCCTTTCATTATATTTTCTCTCCCCTGTCCACCTGAGGGGCGATACAGCAGCTTGGGTGGGGACCTGAAGTCCAGGCAGGGTCACCCCAACCCACCAAGCAATAGATGAGCTTCCCCTAACTCCGTGTGCGTCTGCATGCGCCACTGGGTTACCTTCCTGGCATGAAGGGAGGAAGCGCTGCCACAATCATCCCACCGGGGCAGGGCATGGGCAGCTGGACTCACTCCATTAGAACAAAGAATTTCCCCCTCCCAGCTGGGTGTCCTGAGGGAACTGGAGCTGAGCACCACGTGTGGTTTTCACCTGCATCTGTCAGTGCAAATGATCATCACCAGACAACCCACTGGGAGTGATCAAACCCATGACCCCTCACAGCGGCTCCAGGCAGGGAGTGGTGCCCCAGGTGAGCCAAGTGGGTGGTGGGGTTTATCCATGGCCCCTGGGCCCACTTCCAGAGGAGTTGCTAGGCAGCATCTGCATCATTTGCCTGTCACAGGAACCAGCCCAAACACAGATCTGAATGCTCCACCAGACGGAGGCACCAGACTCTCACAAAATTATTGTGAAGTTATATTTTGTTTTGAAACCTCCTCTGCCATGGGTCGTATTTAAGAGGGTCAAAAAATTAAGCCCAACTCTATTTGCAAGTGTACAGAAGAGATGACTGCACACCATTTGTCAGGGGGGGCCATTAGACAGAGAAGTGTGACAGAGCACAGGCAGTGTGGAGAGCAGACAAGGGGCAGCAGCTGCTTTGCTCCCTTGCCTGGGGACAAAGATGGGAAAACCAGGTCCTGCTGCACAGCTGCTAACATCTGTCCTACCAGTCACTCCCCAAAAGTTTCTTTGGCAGAACAGGGGGCAACTCCTTCCAACCCCACTCTTAACTGCAGATGTAGAGAGGGAAATGCCTAAAAAGCCAGGAAGCAGACGTTTCAGCAGCTGACATCCTCCCTGCCCTTTGCCCAGGCAGGGCTGTGGCCTGGTCCCTGTGTGCACCACCAAGGTACCCCATGGCCAGAGAGAACAGCGACAAATTGACTTTGGAATTAATCCCGCTTAAGCCTTATCTCAGAGATTATTATTGCTATCAAGGCAGCTGAAGAAAGGCTACAGTCACTCCAATAAATTTCTTCCTCTGAGACAGCAATCAAAAAAAGAAAAAAAAAAAAAAAAGAAATCCACTCAGACTGAACACAAATGTAATCGTGTTCGGTGCTTTTTATATACATTCCTGGATTATCTCTGACCCAGCTATATAATCTTTTAAGAGCTAAAATGAATCCTGGGCTGTACAATGATGTGATTATCTTAGAAAGCAAGAGAAGAAAAAAGAAATGTCTTTTTGCTGCATCTAGAAAAATATTTTTCCTCACTGGAACAGACATTCACATCAGTGATATGTTTATATGTCAGCCTGCTCTACTACAGAAAGTTGAAGATTTTTAATCAAATACACTGGGGATTTTTGGGTGGTGAAGCTGCCAACTGATTTTTTGTTTTTGTTTTGTTGTTGTAAGGAGCCTGAACTATGCCTTTTCTACACTACTGATTTATAGGGGGAAATTGCTACCCTACAAAGAGGAGCACCTAAGCAGAAAGTAAAATTTAAAAAATGTTCAAAACAAAATTGGTCTTCTTCTTCCCTTCTAGCTAGTTGGAACTGATTAATATGTTGCATATATGTCTAAGTGCATGAACACAAGGAAGCATAGTGCAAAAATGTGATGGGAACAGGAAGGGTTAAACAGGTCTCTAAGTTTGTTCATAAGTACGTACGGGATCCTGAGCATTAAAGCCAGCAGATTCCTACTCTGTGGCTCTAGCTAATGTATTTCAGCATAAAATCCTGAAAGCTTCCAAAGACAGCGAGACTTTAAATCAAAAATTAAAGGTGAGTATAACTGTTTGGCTCCACAGACATTGAAGTAGGGGAAAAAAAGGGAAAACCAAAGAAACAGATGCAGACATCAGTATGTTTTCCTGAAGAGACCTAAGCAACTTTTCTTCTTATTTTGTATTTGTTTTACATAAGCTTCTTAAAGTAGGGAAAATAATTACAGCACTTTTTTGTCTGCACAATTTTCCACTGAGATAAATTCAATTACTACCAAAGAATACAGCTACATCAAAAAAAATGCATCCTTTCTGCTTGGTCACATCTGGTAAATCAGATTTAATCCTCAGCAATCAATATCCCAGGGTAAACAGCCCACATCTAGAGATGCAAGGTGGAAGGTAAAGAAGAGAGATTATATTTGTAAAAGCAGGAAAGTATCACACAATGCCAACAGCTCTGTTTTCTTTAGGTAGAGTCAACATGAAATTAATTGTTAAATAGAAATAGTTTTCTGAGTGACATTTACAGGCATTACTTTTGAAGCTCTGAGTGCCTCCCTGCAATTGCAATTCAGTCCCTGGGCAGGTGTAATCCTTCTCTTCTCACCACACTTCCAGAAAGGCAGAAGAAAATAAGCTCAAGAAGTAAAAACAGAACAAAACACTTGGACTACTCAGAAAGGCATTGTGGTCACGGTCCAATTTGAAAGCTGCTGCTGAACCTGCAGGTGCTGCCAGAGCTGCTGAGCCCAGGCACTCTGGTAGCAATCAGCACTCACCTCCCATCTCCCACTTCCATCTGCCAGCTCCCATCCTTGCTGGAGATGGCCACAGCAGAGCCATGGGGCCATGCTCGGGGACAGCCATGCTGCACCCTCTGCAGAGCCACATCACATTCAGCCCCTAGCAAAAGGGTGACTTTTCTCCTGCATTTTACCAAACCCCCTGCCCACCACTCCACTGAAAATGGAGAGAAGCTTAGAGAAGTCCTGCAGCTCGGACAGCCAGGGCACTCCTGGCACACCGCTGCCAACACAGACCTCTGCACAGAGAGCCTGGCAGCAGCACTCCCAGGAAAAGATTTGCAAAGCTCCCTCAAAGGCCAGCATTTCATCTGCTTTGTGATCAGGCTCCATCCAGCACTGCAGCTTCAATCACTCATCACTTCTGAGCAGTGCCAAGAATTTAATCCAAATCCTGTCAGATTTACCATCCTGCTACTTACTCTGCTGATTTTTACCCTTACCACCCTTCCCAGCTGCCAAGGGGGAAAAAAGCAACCCTCAAACCCTGAGTGTGAAACTTAACACAGGCTTCCAAGGGATGGGAAACTTAACCTGCCTTCCAAGGGATGGAGCACACCAGCACAAATATGACTGAGGAGATGTGAGGCTGCTCATCCCAGCTGGACACCCAAGCATGCTTCCCAGCCCCTGCAAACAGACCCCTGCATCGTGCTGAGCATGGCCCTTGGCACGGTGTTGCATCCACATCTCAGTCAAAGAGCTGAAATTTCCTTCTCCAGTACACTCCTAATTTCAAGTTCTTTCAGGAGTAGGAGTTCCAACATATTTTTTTTCTTCTTCAAACTACTTAATAAGATCTCCTTCACTCAGGTGTGTGCTGTCATCTTCACCCAGCATAAAAAGAAAAAGGAGAAGGCAGAATAACTGCCTTTAAAGAAAGAGAAAGTACAAGTCATACCTTGCCTTCAGACTTCCCCAGTGTGCTGGAAGATGCAACTTTCACAAACTCTTCATTTGGTCCTTTTTCGTGTGGGGGATGGAGGAGTTGAAGAATCAAAACAGCACGGGGAAAACTTTTGTTTTGCTGCAGCCCCTTCCCCAGCGGCACCATTAACATGTCTCCGTGCTCTTTGGGGAGCGGCGCTGCCATGCCCCCGCCCTCCGGGACGCGCAAGGCAGCGGCCCCGGGGGCTGCCCGAGCGCACCGAGCTCCCGCCGGCTGCCGGAGCGTCTCCTGCTCTCCCCACCGGCGTCCCGGGCTCCGGGGCGGGGAAGGCGGAGGAGCCTCCGCTGCTGTCCCTGCGCTGCCGCCCAAGGGCTGCGGGACGGACGGACGGACGGACGGAATGGGGCTGGCCGCCAAGTGTGAGAGTGTGTCTGTATCTGTGCATGTATCATACTAGTATAGTATATAGTACAGCGTAATACATTATATGGTATATTATAGATTATACACAGTATGTTATATTATGATATATAGAATCACAAAACATCCCGAATTGGAAGGCACCCACTGGGATGGTCAAGAACATCTCCTGGCCCTGCACAGGACAGCCCCAAGAGTCACACCATGTGCTTGAGAGCGAACGCTTCTTGAACTCTGTCAGCTTTGGTGCTGGGACCACTTCCCTGGGGAGCCTGTTCCAGTGCCCAGAAACCCTCTGGGTGAAGAACCTTTTCCTAGTATCGAGCCTAACTAAACCTTCCCTGAGATGATATCGATATAAACACAACATATAAATATAGATGTACAGTGTTTATAGATACACACTGTAGAGATACACTACTTTTTGCTCAGCAACAAGCAGAGCGGCATTTTTCGGACGGATGCTCCGGCACTTCACTTACCACCCCTGACCTCCCAAAAGAGAAATCCCCTCACGGAACACAGGGCGGGCGCCGGGAGCGGTGGAAGGGCACCGCCGCGGCGGGACCACCGCCCGCATTTTGGGAGAGGGGGCGTCCGCGGGTCTCACCTTGGGGTTGGTGCGCAGCTGCCGCTCGTCCTCATGGAGCAGGGCGGGTGCGGAGGAGCGGGAGGTGCGGACCAGCACCTGGAGGCAGGGGTAGCGGGCGGTGCCGCGGCAGGCGGCCCCGCAGGAGAAGGTGCAGGCGAAGCGCTCCCCCAGCTGCCGCACGGCCAGCACCGTGCAGTTGGCGGAGCCGCCGCCGCCCCGCTCCTGCAGCGCCGGGCGAAGCCAGCAACAACCCAAACCCAAGAGGGAGAGCAAGCCGGCGGCGATGAGGAGGAAACCCAGCCGCATGCTCTTGTCCTCCGCCTCCGTGTACTCGTACGCCGCCCGGCTCCTCGCCATCGCCCGGCTGCCGCTGGCATCCGCCGCCGGGCATCAGCCACTGCCATCGGCTAAAGCTGCCGCCGCTCCCCGCCTCCCTCCCCGCCTCCTCCGAGGCTGACTGTGCGTGTAACCGCACGGGGAAAAAAAAAAAAAAAGAAAAAAAAAAAAGATAAATAAAATGCAAATTTAATCCCGTCTGACCTATTTCAGGGCCCTCCGGGGGTGGAAAGGGACAGATTGCAACGGGATTATCTGACCCCGGAGATTTGCTGTGCGGAGGGCTAGTCCGGATTAAAACTGGGTACCATCATGCAATGTACAATATCTAGAAGAGGGTGGGTGGGGTCCTTCGGGTGCATTGTGGCCCCCCTGTAAGGCAACATCTCACCACTGGCTTGGTTAAGTCCTGGAGATCATGTGTAAAATCCCATTTAGTACCCCCAAGGCATCAAAGTCTGCAAGGTCTCTATGAGTAGAGGAGGAAACTAATGTGAACTTAAAGAAATTAAATATCTACAAGTGAGAAGGCAGCTTCTATTTTTTACCTTATTAATTAAGAAGGGACATAATGGTAACTGGCCAAATTTTAACATTTTTGGGGTGCAGGGTAAAGTGTTCTGGCCAGCCCCAAAACCAGCATCTGCACAGCAGGGACAGAGATAACAGACAAGCAAGACGACAGCTATCACACACAGGAATTGCTTTGAACAGGAAGGTATTGACCTTTGAAGGTTCACACTAAGAAGTGTTCTCTTCCAAGCAGTTTTGCAAGAAAAGCCAATGATTCAAGAAAATATATTTATTAGGCAAATAAAGTTTGGTTATTACCCAGCATTACCCACTGTGGCAACACAAATGCTTATGGTGCCAAAGTACCATAAGCAATACTTATAGTGCTATTCTATCATCTTTATCACAGGCAATTATGTAGAACAAAATGTGAGCCTGAGAGCTGATAGCTGAACTTGATGACACAGCAGACAAGAAGGCAGAGAAACACAAAGTTCGGGAAATAGCACTTTCCTTTTTCAATCTCTTTCCCACTGCAGACTGCAACGTCAAACTTTTATAAATGAAGCTGATCCACAGGTTCTCCAAATGGACTATTAAGCAAGGTTTGGCAGGAAGGCTATTAAGAGTCCATGCTGTGCCATGAATATAGATGGATGTAAATATTGTCCTTGCTTGCACAAGTGCACTACCACACTCCTCTCCAGCCAGCTGCTTTGCAGCAGCCTGCCCTGGTTATCAAAGGGTTTCTGAAAAAGTACACCAGCTCTGAGCTGGCATTATGGGTTTTTTACTTAAACCTCCTATAGGTGTTTATACTAGAAACTCGACTCCTCTTGCTTAGTCCTTGACTCTGTTAATTTGTTCCCATCATCAGGTTTTGCTGCCATCACTTGTAGTGACAGCAGTCTCTAACAGTAGAGGCTTGTTGCATAGAGTTTTCATAATAAAAAAAATTAAATTATAATCAGGTTGATTGGTCACTTACCACTTGAAAGGGAAGCTCCAGCTCTGCTTTCTCAGTGTAAATGAGCTGCAGCTTCTTTCTGTCTCACCTCCTGAACAGCTGGCCTTCCATACCTGGTTCAACTCCCTGCAGTCCCCTGTACATAAAGCGCTGTCAGACGGAAATTAAGGCAACAGCTCACTGGGTAACAGAGTAACCGTGACTTAATCCTCCTGTGTGCATCCAGTCCCTACATCCTCCACAGCTGGGGAGATGCTAAGCTGTATTTTAACTGGGAATGGCCGTAGGATTCACCAGGTGATCTCATAGATTTTGAACTTCTGCACAAATGACTCAGTCAAGACTCAAAGATTATTTGGATCAACTTGAAGTGAGAAATGATCATCAATGCCTAATCATTGTAGCAGAGTGAAGGGGGCCTGCTGTGAAGATTTTAGCTCTGCTGTCACCCGAGGGCAGGAGTGGGGACACTGGCTTGAGGACCACGGGCTGCAGCAGAGCCACCAGGGCTGAGAAAGCCAGCATATGAAATTCAATGTCTGTATGAAAATCTCAACAGCAGAACAGATTGCTGCCTGCTCTTTTGGGCCCTTCCCTGCCCAACAACCAAGGGACAGCCTTACCTGTGGCCAACTGCAGCTGCCCCACCTGGTATGGCCAGTGCTGGGAACACCTCTGCCTTGAGGCACCTGGAGGCTGGGCAGCCAGTGCAGCTCTGCCACCACACCCACCCAGGCTGCTCACAGGGACTGGGCTCACACCCCCTGTTTCCCTGCACAAGCCCAGTGCTGCTCCATGGGATGCTGGCTCTTCCAGGAAGTGAAGTGCCTTTTCTGAAAGCAAATGTCTATATAAAACAACAGAGTGACACCCAACCAATACTGTGACACCCACCAGAAAGTAAACTGGCCTTCCAAGGGAAGAGAGATGTCCAGAACAACCAAAGCCACCCTTCGGTTGAGAATGAGTTCAGAGAACACTGAAGGGTTTCCACAGAGCACCAGAGCAGCTTTGGGACCCCTGCCTTCCTCTGGCTCCTCATCAGGACTGTTTACAGCCGATGCAGGATGGCGAAAGCAAATGTCTATATAAAAAAACAGAGTGCCTTTATAAAACCAATACTGTGACACCCACCAGAAAGTAAACTGGCCTTCCAAGGGAAGAGAGATGTCCAGAACAACCAAAGCCACCCTTCGGTTGAGAATGAGTTCAGAGAACACTGAAGGGTTTCCACAGAGCACCAGAGCAGCTTTGGGACCCCTGCCTTCCTCTGGCTCCTCATCAGGACTGTTTACAGCCGATGCAGGATGGCCCAGTCATGACAACTGGCTACTCCAATGGATTGTTTGCTAAACCAATGAGGGAGCTCAAAAGGTGATTTTACAGAAAATTATTTTGGTAGTTTCAGCAGGAAAAACCTGACATATATTAGCTAACTAATACCCAGAAGACAATATGAAATGCAAATAAGGAACTGAAGCCTAGAAAAATAATACAAAAACTTGGTTCAATACTGCTAATCCAGAAGTGAGCTAAGTCAGTAACAGTCAAAACTATTGTTCAATGTGCTTGAACATTACTTTCAAAAATATAAAGTTTACCTCTAACAGTAAAGTGGTTTTAAGTGGTAAAGCTACTGCAACTATTTAAACCAAAATTTCCAAGTAGGTTATCCAGCTGCATTTCCTCAGGTCTTTTTCACGTAGTGGAAGCTTTCAGATTTATGGAAACGAGAGCATGCATTCTTATCACAGAGAAACAAAAACTCAATTCACACACTATATATGAATATAAAAGCATCAGCTGTCAATCCAGACTAACTTTTTAGTCCAATCTGCATTACCAGAATTCAACTTCTACTACCATTAATTTTGGGCAGTGGCAAATTTTGAGGGACACAATGAAAAGTGAAAAGGTACTTGAAAACTAAGCACACTCTGAAATATGGCTTGAATAGCAATTGTTGTATTTAGGATCTTAAACCAAAAGCACTGTCTAGCTCTCCCATCCTTAGGATGCCAGCTGTGCATTTAGAGGCTTTTCTGAGCGTGACAGATAGCAACCAATTTTTTCCTTTTTGTTTCATACAGCCATGGAATTATTTTTAAATGGAAGTTACCAGGAATTGGGGGGGGGGGCAGGGGGAGGGGTAAGTTTCTTTTAGGTGACTAGTAACTTTAAACAGTATTACTTAGAAAATGGACAGCCTTCTTCCATAGCCATGGCCACCTAGGAGCCAGTCAGGACCAAGATGATGGCCCCACAGACCTGTCTCCAAGCACTGCCTAGGTCATGCCAAAGACTGTTTCTGGTCTCTTCATGGTCAACAGAAACAGTCCCTCAAGACTGCAAAAATCTTGCATCTGACTACAACACACAAATTCTTATTAGGGTACATTCTCCCTTCTTTCATGGAAACTAAAACAGAAACAGACCAGTACAAGAAGTCCTGGCTTGGGGTCAGAGAGGATTTCAGACATGCCATGCAGCCAAGTGATACAATCATACATCTTTGCACTGCAGAAATGCTGCACAGCCACGAGGGAGTGGTGTGGTCAGCTGAGAATCCCAACCCAGGCGCAGCTGACACTTCACGGAAGGTCACGGTCACGTGAGAAATAGTTTTACCCATGTGAGTACCTGCAGTCTTCCCTGGATTACATGGGTCTTCAATTAGATTAATCAAGCCCATGAAGGTTTTCATGTGCTTACGTATTTGTGGCACCAGACCACTAAGGTGGAGGAGGATTGAGTGCAGGGTGGTTTTTCATTTGCTCATTTTTAAACACCCCAATGGAGCATCCTTAACCCTTTCCTTCATGACGTTCTGGTACCCTTCATTTTTCCACAAGCAGGGTGGTTGGAGTGACAATTTTTGAAATATGAAGTATCTTCTGCAATAGCAGATGTAATCAAATCAGTGAAACTTATGTTAAACCCTGGAAGCTGAAGATAGTGGATTTGCAGAGAAAGTGGAGCTAACTATTTAATAAAGATTTGTAAACAATATCCAACAAGGACTATGAGAGTATGTTGGACAGGCTAGAAATAGGGATACTTCTACTTCTTTCCAAGAACACTGGGTATTCTACCCAGAACTTACCTTGCACATCGTTGTACAAAACTAGTTATGGGGAAAAACACCCACCTCAAATTTAAAAACAGCATTCTATTATAGTGCTAGTGGAATATAAAAACATATTAAATAAGCCTCAGACCTTAATTGTCAGTCTGAAAACCTTCAGGGCAATTCAGTCACCCATTTGCCATGTGAATATGTAAATGAGGGCTGAGGTTTTCTTCCTTTCAGTAAAAAAAGCAGTATGTTCTTTTTTTCCATTTTTAAAACTAATATAGTAACAGTTAAGAAGTAGCTTCAATCTTACACCTTGTTTTCTGTTTATATCTGTTTCTCTTGCTTCAACCCACAGTGTAAAATGAAATTAAGTCACAGATTTTAAAATACCTATACATGCTTATTTAACTGATAAACGAGAGCCACTGTTCTTCCACCTGGAAGGAGCAAAGCAGGCATTTCAAATTTTTGAAAGAC